CATAAAGTAAATAATTACTAAAAATATTTTACAGTAATTCATTCATTATTTTATAATAACAATATCACGTTAATCACTACACTATGTGGGCGAACAAAATTATAAAGCTAACCCTGGAAACTTGTGACGTTAACCGAAAAATGGCGTACATATTTACCTTTTATATATTCCTTTTTTTTGCTTACCTAAAGAAGGAAACTTTTCGCCTCTCTTCACCAACTCGATCACTTCTATTTATACAATGTTCTACAACACACTTGCCCATCATAAAACGTCTAATTATCGAAATCACAGCGATGCGTATAAGTCAAATGCTAGGACACGACTGAACGCTGGGCTCCAAATCAGGCTCCAAAGTGTTTTCACCAAAGTCGCTCTATAAGCCAGTCTAGGTGGTCTGTGATTTCATTCAATGGAAGTGACATAAAGGATGAACCGCTTCAACGACCGACTCGGCAGCCGATTCGGCAGAAACCGCTACGTCTGTTTTAGGCTTAATAGTAATGGATTCTGAGACTTGGGATATTACTCTAGCCAATCCAACAGTAAAAATGACCGAATGAGAAACTTTATTTTTTGACTTTTGGCCAGCTTTTTGGGATTTTGCCCCACTGTGGCGTCGGTGGATAAAATGTTGAACAGTTGTTGTAACATCGGATATGTCAAATTTGCGGCAAAACTAGTTGAATTTGCTCATATAAAATAAGTTTCACAAAATTTTATTTATTTCGTTTCTTGGGAAAGAAATTCTTTAAATGTTTTATCTATTCCTTATTTATTGCACTTTGCCGCCGTGCCGGTCGCCGACTGCATGCTTTGCCTTGCGTAAGGTCAGGTTTTACAGTGGACCTGTTTCAAGTGCCGTCCAGAAGTGTATTTTAAAATAATTTTTGAATTGCCCTGTTTGAATCTTTTTTACAAAATTGTATTGTACAGGGTACCCTTACCCTGTAAAAACTAAAACTATTTTTTGGATAAGTTCTGAATCATCCTGTATAAAGAAATTAATTATCTTTTCTCTGAAATCTGTGATATATTATAGGAAATGTCAACTTTAAATTATTTCGACTATATACTTAACTGAATTAATCAACTGAACAAATAATTCTTATTATTGTATTTATTGTTGTGAACGGCCCTAATTTTCATATTCTTATTAGTCCTACTCTGCATAAATACGCCACTGTGGCTGATAAGATAAAATTAGAACCATACCGTTTCTGCAAACGTAGTCTCATTTCTCTAGTTGAACGTCGAGAAAACAATCCACAATTTAAAAGTGTAACTAAGGAGTGGTGGCAGTAATGCAAGTAGTTTTAATACTAGTTCTCAGAAAATAATTAATTCGCTAACATTATCAGGTAGGCAAATATGTTTATAATGTTTTAACAGCGAACACCGAGAATCTATTATAAATTGTGATAAAACTAAATCGATTGAGGAATGTATCATTCTTTGTTAGTTTATCTTGCTTGTTTATTAAATTAATAGCAGATAAATACCTAACCATTGTAGAAACAAATTTTCCTTATTGTGGTTTTGCTCTCAATTATTAATGTTTCAATGGTGTAAACATTTGTGTATTTATTTTTTTATATATTTAACAATGTGTTATAATAAATACAACTTCATTCTTTAAAATATTTAATATGGTCTGATTTTCAAATTAAAACGACTAAAATAAATAAAAGTGGTAAGTTGAACGTTATTTTACCACCCATTAAAATATGAAATTTAAATAAACAGATTTAAGTTCGTAAACCAAATAAAAACATATCTTAGTTAAAAAGAGGTGCGCAAATAGATCTCTTGTAATAGGTATGTAGGTACATAAAAACGAATAAAAAAATTAAGTTACTTAATAACTAAACAGTTCCATTTGTTGCCAGTATTATTAATATTATATAATTTTTGACTCAGAAGTGACATAATAAGAATTGTCTTACTAACTAATTAGTTAGTGAGAGAAACAATTGTTCAGCCTTTAAGATCCGCCCCAAATTTTTAATGTATCATTAATTAATATGTGTCTAAATTTCAATATAAATACTGTACTAATGATAATTTAGACTAAGCACTAAAATAAATTAAAACAACTCCTGTCTCTCTACTAACTAACTAATTAAAGTATACAGGGTGTTTCAGTACGAGTGAATCAAACTTTAACCACAAATAGAACTGAATAAATAATTCAGAATTTCCGAATAAAGCAAGGGTCTAAGTCTCACCGTTTTCACTGTACAGGGTTATTCATATAACATTTTACCCCCCTTAACTTTTTATTTTTTGAGTTAGACAAAATTAGTTAAGATAAAAGTTGTAGGGAATGTTTCTGTGAGTTTAGCGAGTTTATGAAAATATAAATTATACAGGGCGTTCCAAAGATACGAACTAAACCTATGATTTTTTAAATGGAACACCCTATATATTAATCGATTTTTAGAAATTTTGTCTGTTCCTGATTTCAACAATGTATCTATTTTAAATAAGTAGTCATAAGAGAAACTTCAGAGTTTATTAACGAATACATAAATTATAAATTTTCATTAATTGCTCCATCATGTGCAAGACAAAGATACCATTTGGTTCCATCCATATGTTACATTAATGATAAATATTTGTTGGTGTTTTGTCTGAATAATAGCATGAGAATTTTCCTCACTTCAAATATGCAATTCTATTTGGAAAGCGGTTGGCGTAAATCCGGCCAACTTCAGAAGTTCGTACATTAGATGAATCAACAAAATGATTTATGACAAAAATCTAACTACTAATTATGCATACTTGTTGATAGTTATCTCAATTTCCAAAGAAACCAAGATTTTTACAAAATTTTAGTATCGCATTTTTGATATAATACATGTATGTTGTTAATAAAATAAGATTTTCTCAAAAACGGTACAAGATATTTACTGATATACGGTATACCTTTTTTTAAACAACGTGTGAGGGGAGTCGAACTATGAAAGAAAAATGTCAAAGCAACGCTGTCCAAGATATATAAGTTTAAATGATAATAATTCTCCTGTATAATCCAGGCATATTGAATATCGGTTTAAACTTTGAAATGAACAATATCATGAGTTATTTTAATTGCCCAAATTTTATTGTTGTCATGGTAACGACTTCGAAGGAATTTGTCTTTCAAACTTCTTTCTTTGAAGGCGAATAACTCAACAAGGAAACCCAGTAGGAATTTTTTTTTCATGAAGTACTACATCTATTTTGACCTCCCCTGTATACCGCTTCATTTTTGACATGACCTTTCCGGACATCCTGTATATATTTTTCAAATACAATTAGGAATAAATGATATCGCAATCAGAGAGATAATTACACTTTAAGTTTCATTTTATATTCTAATTAAAAAATATTTTTAGTCATATTCTGAAATTTTAATATTATTTAAATAACTTGAATTTTGGGCAATATTGTAGCAGTTATTGAACTCAAATAATGAGGTCAATAGGTAATGAAAGTTATTCCTTGTCAAGAAAAACTTCCTTCTCTGCGTGGTACTAAAATACATTTCCAAGACATCTCTCCCTGATCTTATAAAAATGAAAATGTCAAAAGTCAAAAATAACTTAAACCTATTAAAAGTTAATAAGAATCCTTAGCTGATAGTTAACTGCAATAATAAATTTGTATTTGCCTGTTCTTAAGGATTACTATAACAAATATGCATGTTTTCGATAATTAAACTGTTTATACCATCTCTAGCAACACGATTGCGACGATATAATTATTGTATAAAAATTCAATAAACTTTTACGATATATTACTAGCCTGTTTCATTAATTAATCTACGTTTGGAAATATTTGCATATTTTTCCTCTCGCAAAAAGAGTTTAAAAAATAAAGTTCCAGTTAAATTTATGAACGACGACATAAGAAAATTCACAGAATGCTTGTCTACGATTAAACTAATTAGCTCGATACCAAGGGATCCGAAGGATTTTGCAATATATAAAGTACTGCGAGGTGATTATAAAAAACGCGTAAGACGTGCTAAAAGAACGTGTCTTGATAATTTTTTAATATATTCTAATAATAAAAATAGAGATAGTTGGCGTATTATTAATTATTATGAGCGACGTCAGAATTACGGTACTGGAGAATATTCAAAATCTGCTGATGAGATGAACAGATATTTTGCCAGTATAGCGGATAATATAATAACGTCACTTCCTGGTATAACACATAATTAATGTGATATTGTTAAATACAATGCCCATCGTCTTCATTTTTCATAAAACCAGTAACGACAGATGATGTCAGAAATGCTATTTTGGAATTAAAAAATTCATTTGCTGTTGATATCTATGGTATAAATGCACCAATTTTAAAACAAATTTGTGATTTGATTATCATTCCCATTACTGTTCTTGCCAATAAATGTTTTTCAGATGGGGTGTTTCCAGACTGTTTTAAGAATAGTAAGGTTATACCACTTTTAATGAAGGGCAATCCTAACGAGCCAGGCAACTATCGCCCAATTTTAATTATCCCATTATTTGGAAAAGTTCTGGAACGTATTTTGAAAAATAGATTAATGGATTATTTTGAAACTTATAACTTTTTTCGCCAGAACCAATTTGGATTTAGAAGCAAATTATCCACAACTAAAGCTTTGTGTAAAATGGTGGAAAACTTAGACGAGAGTCTTGAACAGGGCAAGTACTGTTCTGTAATACTATGCGACCTGTGTCGAATACTTTCGACTGTGTTTCGCACGCTATTTTCGTACGGAAATTATCTTTCTATGGCATTCGAGGTGTACCGTTAAAACTAATTCAGTCGTACCTAAGTAGTAGTAGACAAATTGTTTGCTTTAACAATTCTTATTCAGGCCACGAATACATGCCTCACGGAGTTCCACAGGGCTCTGTTTCGGGGCCCTTGTTTTTTATGATTTGTGTTAATGATGTGTTCCCATTCCTATTACCTTTTCGTAGCACGTTATTTGCCGATGATACTACCATTTTTACGTCTGCCTATAATTTGACCAGTTTTTCCTCGTTATACGATAAAATGATTGAAAAAGCACGGAAATGGTTTTCAGCTAATAATCTATAGACAGTAAAACGTACAATTTAATATTTTCAACTCGTAAAAATATAACGGAAGGCAAATCTGCAAAGGTACTCCGTGTGATTCTTGATGATTTCNGTTTTTCCTCGTTATACGATAAAATGATTGAAAAAGCACGGAAATGGTTTTCAGCTAATAATCTATAGACAGTAAAACGTACAATTTAATATTTTCAACTCGTAAAAATATAACGGAAGGCAAATCTGCAAAGGTACTCCGTGTGATTCTTGATGATTTCTTACGTGGAATGTCCATATTGACAAACTGAGAACAAAACTATCTAGTACCTTGTTTTTAATTCGAAGATTGGAGCACTTTTTGAGTGACGACTGTTTGATGATGTGTTATTATTCACTTTTTCACTCTCATTTGATTTATGCTATAATCCTTTGGGGAAACAGCACAACGTCCGATAAAATATTTAAGTTGCAAAAGAAAGCTGTACGGTTAATGACTAATTCTAGCTATACTGAACACTGTCGACCGCTTTTTAAAAAACTTAAAATTCTATCGTTACCATGTCTTTACATATATGCCACTCTCCTTGAAATTCATTCTCAGAAACATCTCTATGTTACACACTCCCAATGTCATAGTTATGGGACGAGATCAGCGGACAATTTTATGAATCCACGTTATAGACTGACTAAATCAAAGAAAAATTCCTTAGATATCCATTTATATAATATTGTGCCAACTAGTTTAAAGTCCTTGAATACTCGTGATTTTAAACAGAAAATAAAATCATTTCTTGTTACGCATTGTTTCTACTCAGTTAATGAGTTTTTAAAATTTTCTGATATGCATACATTATAGTAATGGTCTTATCGCTCCTTCTTAGACTAAGATGTTTATATAATCTCTTTTCACTCGTTTTGTGTTTTATTGCTTGTAATATTTATTGTGATATGTTTTTTATTAATTTATTTTTGTTCGTGTATATCTATACATTTTTTGTTTGTGTATATGACTTGCCTTAAATATTGTATGCAATTTAACATGGTCAATAAACACTAAACTAATCTAAACATATACCTATGTACCTATGAAATATTTTTCAGAGACGTCGAGCCTATATCTCGGATTCTAGAATAAGTATATGTTAAAGACACTTTTTTCCTTAAAATAATCTAAAAAACTGATCCCTTTTCATTCAAAATTTCTTTTAAAGTCTTAAATTGCACATTTTCAGATTTAAACGTTGAATTTTTTTGCTGACAAAGTCGGTCAACCGCTGGCCAAGATGAACAAGAAATTCTCTATATCAGAAGGCGCCATCAGCTCTCATAAATGCTGCCTCTGCGGCCATCTTCTATCGGTTGCACCCATCATGTCCGCAGGATTGGAAAATGAACTCTACAAATGCGGTAGGTGCAATAAAGTCAAATGCCAAACTTACACCAGGACTCGCCTATTCGAAGATGTAGCTCAGCATTTATCTTTCCCTTGTTCCTACACCCCATGCGACAAGAAGGTAGCCTGGGGTAGTGTGGAGAAGCACGAACGAGACTGTCCCTATAGAACCATGAAATGTCCGATATACTACCACAACTGTTCTGATGTGGTTCGAGTGGAGAACCTTCTGGAGCATTTCAAAGACAGGCATTCGAAGAATATTAGACCCATCGATTCGATTTGGGAGTTGAACATCCAGTTTGACTATGTATTTCTGACTCAAATAGACAACAACTGCTTTTTAGTGTATATTATGCATTTGGAAGAGATCTTTTCAATATCAGTACTGGCTACTGGGCGTAGCAAATATAGCAACTTCAGTGTGAAGTTACTGCCTTCTACAGATGATAAGTTTGCTGTATACTTCGATGATTTGCCGGTAGTTCGCTACGATGAGCGATCGCATTGTTACATGTGTATCAGAAAAAAGTGCAACGAGCCACACCACCCTTTTGCGAAAAGGAACAGTAGTGGTGAAATTGATTTAAGTGCATTTGCCAGCAAACTTAAGAAGGAATTAATTGACAGCGTGAAAGCCCCCGATGGAAACTTAAGGTACTTACCGTAGATCTAACATTATACAGTGCGACCATTTTAGATGGAAGCATCCTTACAAAAAATATATTTATTATTTAATTTAATTCCTCTTTTTTTGGAAGATAGAAGAAAGCATGTGACTTAATAGAATGTATTGAACATTCTATTAAGTCACATGCTTTTTAATATATTTTCAGTTATCAAAGAGTACTTAGCCTTTTTTCTTTGTCAAATTGTTATTTATTAGACTTCCTGTGGGGTGAGGTAATACTTCAATTAAAAATGCCCAAAAAACATCCGATCAAAGAAGTACGAAGAGAGAATAACTGAGGCATAACACTCCAATCAAATAAGAATTAATGGATATAATATGAAAAAGGGAGATTTCAGAAAAAATTGCATTGGGGTTGCAATTTTTGTATTTTCATAGTTTACTTGTGGTTTTTGTTATTCGTAAATATAATTAATTAGTTCATCCATAACATTAAACAGCATTATATAATTTGAAACTGAACATTAAAAAGCAGAAACCAATAAACATTTTACGTGTTTATTTAATTTTTTTATGATTCCAAAGATTGCTTTCTTTGTTTGCAAGGAATAGAAACTATTAAAATACCATTATTATCAATTTACAATTAGCAACAGACATTTTCTGATGAACATTGGTAATAACCCATTGAGGACTGTAAAATCCAGTGGTGTAGTAAGATTAAAAAAAATCATTAAGTTTTATCAAATACGACAACAGAAAAAAACATTAAGAGAGTTTTCATAATAATTGAACATCTAAGTTCTACCTCTCAAAAAAAAACAACATTAAATCCGACAATAAATACCAATTTCACAAGGATATTTCCATTAATCCACACTATGTTTTTGTGAATTACAAATATTTAAAATTATTATTTAACTGCAAATTGTGAACTGCAAAAATTTTTCTAAAGAAAAAAGAATACATTTTAAAAAGCAAATACATTCTCATTTACAAAAATATACAATTTGTAACATCTGAATAATGTTATAGGTATGACGTTTAATAAATATATATCGTTATATAGCAGCCAGCTAATTTTTAAATACTTATAACTAGTCCATTTAGTGAGGTTCCAATAAGAGGACAAAAATCTGAAGTCTGTAGGATCTTTTGAAAGACATTTCCCCCTCCCATTTTCAATTGTGAGAAAAACGATGGTGATGGTTTTGTAGAATGGAATACCTGCATACTGTCCCGGGGAAAAACCACCTCAATTTCCGGGTTTTTGACGTTGGGCTTGTTAGGAATCGTCGGATAGGATTTTTTGTTAATAATAATAAATTATATTAATTGACACTAGCACACCCTGAACCGATTACCCTCCACCCTCCACCCCCCCCCCCGATGTTTAAATTATCGCCACCTGCAATAGGAAAACATACATATAACTTAAAAAAAAGAACTCGGCAAGGTTTCATAGCGGTTTTCGAAGGTGGGGATCACTATGGTGGTGTTATTTTTACCCTACCCTCCCGTAACTATACCCAACGTAAAAAAACAACCCTATAACCAGCGAGGGTTGGATACTACCTTCTCGCAATGCTTAAATCACCCGAAAAGCGGAAAAACAGGCTCAGAAAGGGTTTCTGAAGGCAGGTGGTAGTGTTACTTTCGCCCCACCCTCCCATAACCATTGATAAATTATTTCGTCTCGGATAAGTGATTTAGCTGATATTTTTATAAAAACCTTATCGAACAAGCGTCCACATGCTCAGGCCTGATAGAATGGAGAACGAGGTGGTTTTATACGTTGGGGGGTATTTACATGAGAATGGGGAGAAAAACAATGCCACCATCGTGATCCCTGTCCTTGAAAACCCTTATGAAGCCTTGTCCAGTCCATTTCTTAAATTTTTCGTATATTTTCCTATTTCGGGTGGGGGTAGGTTCAATCCCCGGAAGTATGTCCGGCGTATGCTAGTGTCAATTAATATAATTTGTTATTATTCACAGATTGGGGTGTTTTTTTTCCTGATAATAGTAGTACGCAAGGGTTGCAGTCTACGAAAGTATCGCCATCGTTTTTCTCACCCTCGAACACGGGAATGAAATGTCATATAAAGTTTTGTGACCTTGTTAACTGGACTGTAAACAGAGTGGTTCTTAATATTATTTTATTTTCTACAGTTAATGACATATGACCGTATGACCTATAATTTTTGTTCCAAAAGGAGTTAATTTGTTTTGTTACGTAAAAGCTGTAATAAAGTACAGGGAATGTTTAGAAACACTAAAGAGTAGTACTCCTATTTGAAAAGATTCTTAAACATTCCGCTACGAAAAGTTACTCATTCATTTATTCAAAAATGTAATGAAAGTGGTATATCAAACAGAACTCATTTGAACATCTGTCCATCTTCAAAAATATGCTTTTCAGAATATGAAGAAGAAAAAAACACATTTTTTTATAAGGAACTAGGTAACTAGTAAAATTTAATTTTGATTCTGGTACCTAGCACAATTTCTAAACCATGTTCAGAATACTTTGATTAAAATATGTTTTATATGAAATATGGAATCACTAATATTGCGGTGTAATAATAAATTTACTTACATACAAAATATCTAAATTATAAATATTGTACTTTCCAGCAAAACGCCACCGAAATGAAATATTGGCGTCAGTAAATAGAGACATATGCTATTTAACTAGCAATAAGAGCTGTTCAAAGTGAAACACAATGAATACTAGGTCTGTTCAGAAAATAACCGACCTCTATTTTTTTTAAAGTTTATTAATTTTATACATTATTGGTCTTTGTTTCCTTCAAACTAATCCTCTCCCCCATTCACACACTTTTCTAAGCGGTGTTTCCATTTCTCGAAGCAGTCCTGGATAGCTTTATTTCAAATGGCCTTTAAAGTCTGTGGCGAATGTGCTTTGATGTCAGCAATAGTCTGAAAGCGGGGTCCTTTCATTACTGATTTTAATTTCGGAAATAAGAAGAAATCGCAAGGAGCCAGATCTGGAGAGTAAGGAGAGTGAATGAGGCAGGAATCTGATTTTTGGCACAAAACTGACGAATTGACAAAGCTAAATGTGCGGGCGCGTCCGTCGTCACGGTGCAAGAACCATGAGTTGCCTCTTTACAATTATGGTCTCTTTTTGCCTTGATAGTACACACGGTTCACCGTTTCACCATGAGGCAAGAATTCAAAATGCACAATTCCATTAAAGTCGAAAAAAGCAGTAAGCATCGCTTTGACATTAGATCAAGACGTGCTTTCTTGGGGCGTGGAGATTCATTGCCCATTTTTTTTTCTGTTATTCGGTCATCAAACGGAGAACAAATTTTGCTGCAACTCGATCCATGTTCAATTTTTCAATCAAAATTCCATTTTATGACCCAATTGAGATGCTAAGCTCTTCTGCAATTTCACTGACAGTCAATCGGTAATTGGTACACGCCAGATCTCTGACTTTCTGAACGTGAGAGTCCTCAATTGAAGTTAGAGGCCTTCCTGGTCGAGAATCATCTTCAGTTGACTGATGACCACTTTTAAATCGTGAAAACCATTCGAAACATTGCGTACGACCCAGAGTATCATCTCTGTAAGTTTGTTTTAAAAGTTAAAACGTTTCCGTGAAATTTTTCTCCAGTTTCATGCAAAATTTTACGTTACCTTGTTGTTCCAGAAAGTCGCACAAAAATTGTCACTAATACTCTTAAATAACAATATTACAAAAACTAAATGAAATATCAACAATCCAAGAACATGTGGTTACAGAAGAGGTTATGGGCAATGCAATATTACCGCGTATTTTAAAAAGTTCGGTTATTTTCTAACAGACCTTGTATAATTTAGCCAATTTGAATTACAATACATTTTTTAACTCTTAACAATATCTACTTAAAAAGAAGTGTAAATCAGAAAAAATCATATTATTACAGGTACCGTATAACACTCAAAGCGAATGAAACTAGCTCCGAGCATCATGGGCAACCCACCGAAGAAGAAGAGGAAAAGGAAGAATGTGAAGAAGAGGAACTATGCGCAAACATTAGCAACATTCCAGCCGATGTCAATGGAGAGGTTCTGAGAAGAGTTCTCAGTTGTCCATACTGCATGACATACATGGCAGCTCCGATTTTCACATGCACCATTGGTCACACCATCTGCAATGTTTGCAGACCACGACTGGAGAAGTGTCCTTCGTGTGCAGAGCCTTTAGGTAGATCAAGGAACTATGCCCTGGAAGAGATAACTAAGGATGCTAGAGTGCCTTGCCAGTACGACTCTAAGGGGTGTACCTTCGCAGGAAGTACCACAAAAATGTATATTCACGAACAGGAGTGTTCCTTTAGTAATTTGCTGAGGGAGTAGTTTTGAGGCGTTCAGAAAGGCCAATTTGAATGCAAAATAAAAAAACATGTCTTTAGAATTAGAGGAAACATATTTTTTATACCTATTATATATATATTTTTATAATTACTTTTTCCAGTTTTATGGCGTTTAAAAAATGTTATGATAATTCTCAAATTTACTATTAAATAAAGNCCAATTTGAATGCAAAATAAAAAAACATGTCTTTAGAATTAGAGGAAACATATTTTTTATACCTATTATATATATATTTTTATAATTACTTTTTCCAGTTTTATGGCGTTTAAAAAATGTTATGATAATTCTCAAATTTACTATTAAATAAAGTTATACATTTTATCTAATGCCTATAATGTTGTTTGCAATCAAGATGGCTAAAGTCGTAGGTTGCCTACAAACTTTGACGTTGACTTATCTAATAGCATGGCAGCATTTCTGAGGGGGAATTACGTCATCTGTGTATTAATTTAATTTCCATCATTTAACTCAATATTAGTTATTTGAATTACTAATTTTATTAATTTCTGCACTAGTAAATATTTCTAAACATTACACTTGCAACATTTTTACAGTTTACAATATGTATAAGAGAACTACAAAAACACAATTCTCTCTGTAACCTGTGATCAACTAGTTTAAATCTATAGATAGAGATACAATAAAATTTCCATATATTTTCACTTTCTAAGCTACAAAACGCACTCATTATAAAATTATGAACTTTTTTGCAAATATTTATTTTGTTTTTCTTTTCGAAAGCACTTTCTAATCCACTTTTGACTGGGAATATTTTGAAAATCTGTGGAAACTACTGTATTCGCCAATTCCATGTTCCAACTTTACGTTACTTTCACAAGTATCCACACTACAATTCGTGCCTTCAGAATTATGACCCGACATAGTTTTGGATAAAAATTTGTGAGCTCAATAGTTCAAAAAGAACAATCTAATAATAAAAAAAACAAGAACAACTCCTGCGACACTGGATACAGGAAAACTCCAAAAATACAGTTTAGTTGCTGCTGCTTGGTAAATATATTTTTATTATTATTTTGATTTAAATTGTTCTTATTTGTAGAGTATTAGGCCTCCACGGAAAACTAAAATACACCAGGAACACTACCTCACGGGTGATGTAGAAAGGAGTGTAAATAATTTTGTTGATGTGCTTAGAAATTGCTCTTACTTTTAAGCATAAGCATAAATATTCTTGTAATATTATATCCAGGCGGTATCTGTTTTAAAAAGGGTATACTTGGGTAAAACGCATATGATCTGAGATTTTTGCTTTAACGGCTTCTAAATAACATCAGAAATGATAATTTTTCTATGCAAATAAAAAAAAACGTGGGCTTAATTGTTATTGCAAAAAAGTATAAAAAAATAGCAAAAAAATTCATTTTTTTCTTGGATTTCTCGTCGACAACTTAGCAACTATTCATTTTAGACAAAAATGGAAGAGGAAAAAAAGTTTTGTAATTAAATTTTGATCAAGATAGAGTTAGTTGCAATTCGAAAAAATAATTATTGTTATTGCAAAAATCGGAAAAATCATTTAAAAAATTGCAAAAAATGCTAGTTTATTTGTCAATTTTTTTCAGACACTTGAATAATACCTAGGATCTTCATACTTTTCCCAATTAAACTTCTTAGTGCATAGAATCATCACACCAAATTTCATCCAATTCGGTTCGATAGTTTTTACATAATAATTGTTTAATTTTTTTATTTTTTTTAAATTAAAAAATTTTCAAAATCAAATTTCTAAAAATCTAAAGCCTTTGAATACTTGAAAATTTCACCACAAAAAGAAGAGCTCTCAAGCTTTAAAATGCTTTTTGAAAAATTCAAATCGGACGATTAGGTGAGCCGTGGTGATTGTTTAAACATTTTCGCAATTTTCACGCTTATAAACAATTGCAATAATTTAATGTTTTTTTAAATTTTTTTTTATTTTAAAATATGGTTTGAAAGTACTCGGAAAGACGAGTATTTAAAAAAAAACCTGATGATCCGCCCATTATTTTCGGAGTTATAGCCCGTTAAAGTTAACCCTTATTTACAGCAAAACTATAAGGGTATAAGGGCTGTTTTTTGAACTAATAGGTTTGTCATTCCGAGTACTTTCCAGATATAAATTTTCAAAATTTGCAATCACGGGTGTCCCATTTAAAATGTCACTCAAAGATATTCAAGACCGCGTGAAATCAATAAAATATCAGTGGTGGGGGGAGCAAACACACAGCCACTCCGATCTGAATTCTCGAGTTCAAAAATGCTCTGAGTATTGCACCCATTGCCTAGGGCAAATGTGTAAAAATACTTACAAAATAGGGGAAGTAGACGAGTTCGAAATCGATTTTAAACAAGACATGTCAGAAGAAAGTTCAAGCGAACTCGACAATCAGATTTTAGAGTCGTTAGAAAATGATATTTTGCAGTTGCAGGATGAGGAAATCGACGATGAAATAGATTGTGATAATACTGATGAGGCATGTGAAAAATCACCAACTAGTAAAAGAATTAGATTAGATTAAATGTAAATAAAAATTGAAATAAATAGTTTAAAATTTGAAAAATCATGAAAAGTGTGTACTGTTTATTGAAGTATCCAAAAGATTCTTATACTTTTTTTATATAAATAAAAAATAATTTTTAGATAAATATTTTAAGAATAAACGAAAAAATTAAAATTTATTTTTTTTGAAAGATTTTTAGAAATTTATTGTACAACTAAAAATTAATACTAATTTTCAGTTGTTTATTTAAATAATTATTGATTAAACAATTTTATAATATTTAAACAAACTTACTAGTATTACCTGGTGCAACATGCAAAAATTTTGGTCGTGAATATTAACATAGTAAATAAATAAACATAATAAATTAATCATTTTTTAAAGTAACTGTTTATCTGTATGTCAAAAGTCCCATATGATAAATGAATTTTTTAAGTAGAGAGACATCAATTTAAAAAAAAATCATCGAAATTGGTCCATTAGAAGCTGAGATAAGTGAAATTTTTCCGAGCGTCGCAGTTTTAAACTCGAAAATTCAGATCGGAGTAGATGTGTGTTTGCTCCCCCTACCACTGATTTCACGCGGTCTTGAATATCTTTGAGTGACATTTTAAATGGGACGCCCGTGATTGCAAATTTTGAAAATTTATATCTGGAAAGTACTCGGAATGACAAACCTATTAGTTCAAAAAACAGCCCTTATACTCTTATAGTTTTGCTGTAAGTAAGGGTTAACTTTAACTGGCTATAACCGAAATTAATGGGCGGATCATCAGTTTTTTTTTAATACTCGTCTTGCCGAGTATTTTCAAACCATATTTTGAAATAAAAAAATATTGAAAAAAACATTAAAATATTGCAGTTGTTTCTAAGCTTGAAAATTGCGGAAATGTTTAAACAATATCAACGGCTCACCTAATCGTCCGATCTGAATTTTTCAAAAACCATTTTAAAGCTTGAGAGCTCTTCTTTTTATGGTGAAAATTTCAAGTATTCAAAGGCTTTAGATTTTTAGAAATTTGATTTTGAAAATTTTTTAATTAAAAAAAAATAAAAAATTTAAATAATTATTATGCAAAAACTATCGAACCAAATTGGATGAAATTTGGTGTGATGATTCTATGCACTAAGAAGTTTAATTGGGAAAAGTATGAAGATCCTAGGTATTATTCAAGTGTCTGAAAAAAATTGACAAATAAACTAGCATTTTTTGCAATTTTTT